AGAAACCTTTGTTCTACCTATTAATGCCCAGACTAAATATGGGCCTGTGGCCAAAGACCAAAAAATCTCCACCTGGAAGAAAGGAGACTAATAATGCACACAGAAGAATGAGGATGCTCAGGAACTGATCTCAGGATCAATGGATTTGGTGCTGAAAGACCTTAAAAAATCTCCCAAATCTCAGTGTTTAGAAGCTGTAGTAGCTATCTAGTCCAAACCATTGATAACAAACAAATAAATAAAATTAATAAAAAGCAACAAGTGATCACTACATGTCAGGCATTGTGCTAAGTGCAAAGGGTGCAAAGAAAGGCAAAAATACAGTTCCTACCCTCAAGGAGGGTACATTCTAATGAAGGAGCCAACATATATAAATAAAAAAAAATTCAAAATATGGCACAGTTAGGTGGCACAGTGGATAGAACACCAGGCCTGGAGTCAGGAAGACTCATCTTCCTGAGTTCAAATCTGTCCTCAGACACTTACGAGCTGTATGACCTGGGCAAGTCACTTAACCATGTTTGCTTCAGTTTCCTCATCTGCACTTAGGAGTTTTGTGGCCCATTTGTGACTCTCAGGTCATGAGTTTGACAACTGTCTTGCTGTCATTTTAACCTCTTTTCTCTAATTTCAGCCTCAGGAGACATCAAGAATGATCCAACTTTGATTTTTTAAAGGTGGTTCTCAGATCTCCTATTTCATACTGTCAATATCAGGTAGTCAATCAACAAGCATGAAGTGATGAGCTCTACCTGTTTGTGTCCAGTTAGCTTGTGGCTTCTCACATTTTTACCCCAAACATAAATTTTGCTTAAGAATGTAAGATGCAGAGAATGTGCACTGGTAGAGGGAATTTCCTCACCTGGGAGTTTCCTATATCAGTGAAAGCACAGGTTCAGTCCTATCCCTATCATTTTGGAATCTAGTAGAAAGAAGTGATGCCCACATGCTATTTGTGGTATCCTATTCACATTAACATCCATAACCTGACTTTTTAGTCTCACCACCCATGAGTTTTAACAGCTGTACCACTTTGTAGTGGGCCTATTTGGTTTAATACCCATCTTTTAGATACTAGTCACCCTAGAGGTGTCTACACTTCACTCAGACCAAACCTCAGCCCCTGAAGGTCCTGTCTTTTCTGAGGTCTCTCAAGTTATCTTAGGGGTAAAGCAGTTGCCCTTCTAAGAAAACTTAAGAGGAACATTCATTTTGTGGTGATTTTCTGTTTCTGGAGGAAATCTGGAGAGCTTAGAAATTTCTGACCTACTCCTCCATCTTCCCAGAATGCCCCTTGATACTGGTGTCTGTTCTAACCAATTCTAGATACATTTCTTTTCTTAAAAAATCAGTCCATTTATAGTACCACAGATTTAGATCTAAAAGGGACCCTAGAGATAATTTAGTATAAGTCACTCATTTTATAGGTGAGGACATTGAGACCAGGTAGTAAGTGGCAGAGTTGGGATTGGAACCCAGGTCCTCTTTGTTGTTCAGAATCATGTCTGACCCTTGGTGACTCCATTTGGGGCTTTCCTGGTAGAGATACTGTAGTGATTTGCCATTTCTTTCTCCTATGAACCCATTGTCAGGCAATCAGACTAGCCCAGGGTCACACAGCAAGGAAGTATCTGAGGCTGAATTTGAACTCAAGTCTTCCTAATCCTGGACCTACTGTTCTATCCACTGAGCTACCGGCTACCTTTTTAGATCCTCTTACTCCATATCATTGCTCATTCCACTGCATCCTACAGTTTTTCTAGTTTCACAAGGAGGCCAGGGCTGAGCCACTAGTCCTAAAATTGATTCTCTTCATTCTGAAGAGAGAGCAATGCCTTTTGTTTCAGTATAAAATTTATTGCCATAAAGAGATAAGATTCCCAATTTAAACTGGTCTTATGTAAACCAAATTTTCCATTAGTTCTGAATAACTCATATCAGTACAAAAATATCCAACAATTGCAAATATGAATTCTGGCTGAATTTCAATAGAAATAGAACTTCATAAGCTCATAGTTTTAGAGCCAGATGGAAAGTTATCAGATAAGTTAAGTGATCAGATACAATCCCCTCATTGTGGCAGATGGAATCTTGGCTAAGAGAGCTTACCTAACTTGTCTGTTTGCCTCAGTTTCCTCATGTGTAAAATGAGCTGGAGAAGAAAATGGAAAGCCATTCCACTAAATGGCAGAGACAGGATATAAACACAAGTCTTGGGACCTAAATCCACTATTTTCAACTGTGTTACGATTTGTCCAAGTTAGCAAATGTACATGGGGAATTTTTTTTTTAGGTAATCCACCTTAGAAAAATGAGAGCATGAACAAAGCAGTGGAGAAAAAGAGAAGATATGATTAAACCAGGAGTTCTTAATGTGTGTGTGTGTGTGTGTGTGTGTGTGTGTGTGTGTGTGTCCTAGACCCCTTTGGCAGTTCAAAGGTGGACACCTTTCTCAGAATAATGTTTTTAGATGTATAAAATATATTACAGAGGTTCCAATACAATTTCAATTTTATTGAAATACAAGTAACAAACTACAAAAAAAAACCCACCAAGTTGATAGACCCAAGGTTAAGTAACTCTTGGTTAGATTAATAAATAGGACATTTTTAGATATATAGATATATAGATATATATATATACACATATATGCACACATATATGTATGTGTGTATTTATATATAAATATATATTCATACATATACATATATGCATATATATATGTATGAATGATAGGTTTACTATGGAAGATGCAACAGGAACCATATGGAAAGAAAACAAACATTTATTAAGTGCTTACTATGTCCCAGGAACTGAACTGAGCTCTTTACAAATATTTCATTTGATTCTCACAATTCTAGGAGGCGCCATTTTCCCCCTTTCACAGTTGAAGAAACTGAAGCAGAAAGGTTAAATGACTTGCTCAGGGTCACACAGCTAGTACGTGTCTTAGACTTCCTGAATCTAGGTCAACTCTCCATCCACTATGCCATCTGGCTTCCTCAGTTAGGTTTGCGATAACACACTTTTGTGATTTCACTGATTCCTGCAGACATTCTAAGGACATGCTAACTGTAAGAGACTCTGCTCCACACTTAACTGGCAAGCTGGACATCAGAGACTCACCCACCCGAGATGGTTTTCATTGTACTATACCACTCCAAGGCCCTAGGCCCTCAGTCTTGGTATCTTCTACCTCTCTTTCTGTACCCATCTCCCACCCCTTACTTTCATTCTGCTCTCCCAATGTTCAGAGGTGCCTTCTCAGGAGAACCTCACGCAGGTTTATTTTCCCCAAAGTGCTCAGAAATTACCTCTTTCTCTGGCTCCCCTCCACATCAAGCCTCCATTTCTGTAACACTGAGTTAGGTGGTTGACAATCTAGTTATAGTATCTATTTTAATATGTGGAACTAACTGGATATTTACACATGAAAGAGAGGCAATGAGGTTAAGTGACTTGCCCAGAATCACACAGCTAGTAAGTGCGAGGGTGGATTTGAACTCAGGTTCTCCTGACTCCAGTATTGGTGCTCTATGAAGTGTACCACCTAGCTGCCCCTGAAAGAGAGGCTTTTCAAAGCAAAAGAATTCTTCCCTTTATCATCCCTCCCCCTAGTGCTTGACCATGCTTCAGGTTTTTGAAGGGAGGAAAACATGCCTGGAAATGGAGCTTCTCTCCCTCTTGGACCTCCTTTTCCAAAGGGAGGAGAGAAAGGGAACAGGGCTAGCCTCAGGACAATTTTGAATAGAGTTTTATCTTTGGTGGACTCCCTCAATAACAACCCTGTTCTCCCCTTCCACCTTCAGTTATAATCATAAAAGCTTAGAGCTTTTATGATTATAAGACTTTAAAAAAAGGACTAATATGAAAGGACTTTAAAAAGACCATCTGGTTTTTATAAATAATTTTTTTATTATTTTACATAACATTTTATTATTTAGTAGATAGTTTATAAACAAATTTACAAATCCATTGAAGAAATGGAAGCCTAGAGTGGTTAAGTGGCTTTCTTAAAGTCATACAGCTAGTTAGCAGTAAACCCAGTGTCTGAGACCATCTCCTAACTCTGCCCATTTATCTTTGTGTTGCTACGCAAATACTTAACTTGCTATCTCTTCAATGTTATGAATAAAGGTTTTATAGAGGCTATTTATTTTGTTATAGCATTTTGTGATTACACAGCATGTCCCAAAAGTCTCAGTACATCTTAAAACTTTAAAGCTTAAGTCTACACTAAGACTTTTGGGACACCTTGTATATCCATTTCTAATTATTAGAGAAATAAAACCTTGGTTTCAGTTCCCTTTCTCTCAAGTTGCCACGGACTTAATGCCTCCCATTACATTACATAGAGTGATCTCTCCCTTTACCTGCTTCCTCCCCGCTGCCCCCACATTCAAAATTCTCAAGTATGTGCTATTAACTTTCCATTTATTAGAGAGAACTTTCCTGCTGAGGCTTCTGTGACCTGGAAAAATGATCAAACTCTGAGGATCTTCCCCTCCCAGATGGATTCTTTTATGAAGGCAAAATTAAGCCATATTGGCCTCAATTCTTACCTAGCCTTAAATCACTGAATGGGTGTTGCCTCAGACAAACTGAGACCTGAGAAAGACCTTAGCTTAAAAAGACCAAGGTCCCCCACTGCATCTGGGGCCATCACCAGTTGTCTTCACCTATGTCTTGCGGCTGGACTCCAATGACTCTGGAGGAGAAAGTGAGGCTGATGACTTTGCACAGCTCTGCCTCACTTAAATACAATTCACTTGCAAGTCAAGACATCATCTTCCTGATGTCATTGGTCGTCTTCAAGAACAAAGGAAGAACAACAATTAGCAGATACCCTAAAGTGTCCACCTTTAGATGATCAGTAGAAATGAAAAAAAAATCCTCTCATATTGACTGGGAAGGAAATTAGAAAATCACTGCTCAAGGGTTAGTCAATGAATTAATCAACAAGCATTTATTAAATAACTACTATGTGCCAGGCACTTGCTAAGCCCTGGGAATACAAAGAAATGCAAAAATGAAGCAGTCTCTGCTCTCAAGGAAATTATTTACATTATACACAAAGATATAACATGTACACATAACCATATATACAGAATACATATGAAAAAAAAATAAATAAAAGGCAGTTTAGGGAAGGATGACACTCACAGGTGGAGGGAGAAGAGGTCCAGAAAAGGCTTCATGTAGATAGTGGTGCTTGAACTGACTCATGAAGTAAGTTAGGGATGAGGAGGAGGAGGGAGAGTCTACCAGGGATGGAGTGGACAGACAGTAGAAAGGGCACAGAAACTGTAGATGGGGAGCCTTGTGTAAGGAACAGCAAGAAGACTTATTTGGATGGACCAAAGTGTGCAGGAAAGAGAGTAATGTGTAATAAGGCTGAAAAGGTTGGGGCCAGGCTGGGAAGGTCTTGTAAAGGCAATAAGTTCATTTTGTCCAGCCCTAGGGAAGTTATTAGTGAAGAAAAAGAGGAAATAACATCTATGTCTCTTGAAGTAGCTTCCTCTGAGAATTAACCAAAGCAGCAAAAAACAAAACAAAACAAAACAAAACAAAACAAAAACATTGAGTATTTTCTTCCTATCTCTGATGGGGCCTAAGAACTCAGTAACAAAAGGAACTTGATTCCCTACTCCTCCAGGAGTTATTTGTCCTTCATAGGAAGGAATGTCCAATAATATCTTTGATGCCTTTAAACATTTATGTGACTTGTGGCCGCATCAAGTCCTAAAAAGATATGGATCATAATAGTCCAATGGGACTTGTTGCTGGCATGGCATTGGTGGAATTGGGCTTGCCTGGTAAGACGGTAAACTATTAAACGCAGTAAACAGTCCCCATCCAAGGGAAAGACAACAATAACAATGCATTTCCTATCTTCTTTCCCCCTTATGGATATGTAGGTAGTAAAAGAAGTAGAGTCACAATAGTGGTCTTTACTGGCTCATATGCATTTTTCTTGAGAAGAAAAGAAAGGAGTGATTTGTATAGCTTCGAGTGAACTTGTCTGCAAAAAGCAAGCAATACTTGGGACTGCTGTTTCTCTGGGCATCTCTTTTACCGGCTAAAGGTTAGTCCCTCCATTTTCAGTTCTTGGGCAGCTTCTCAAATGACCATGTGCAGTACTAACCCCGTCTCTACAACATCCACCCTGCCATCACCATGGGGTTGTACGAATGCTCTGGCATGTCCTTTCAAATACCACTATTGTCACAAGTGGTGTCTTCTCTGCTAACTCTAACTTGGGATAACTGACATGGTTTTTCCTTCCAAAGTCTCTTGACAATTTTTATTATTAGCAGCTGACTCTTGGTACACATGCGTCACAAGGGCCTGGGAAGCATTCTTGGCCTTGTCCCCCTGCTACCTCTCCTCCTCCTCCTCCTCCTCCTGTTACTACTGCACCAGCCACCTCTGCCATCAACATGCCACTCACTGAAACTTCATAAGATGGTGGAATGTCTCCGTGGCTGTCAGTGTCATCCATGAATTCTAGGCTGCTCTCAGTATACAGGGGTGGTGGAATGTTGAAGGTCTTCTGCTGCAGAGAGATCTGCTTTTCAGGATCGATGCTGTCTTCATAAGACGGAGGATAAAAATCTGGCCTATTCAATAGACACATAAAAATGCTTTAAAAATATTTGTATCAGTTGATACCAAATACACTGAGCTCTACATCTCATAACTCATACCAAGAAAATATTCATTTCAAAACAGACGTCCTTTTTCATCAACACACATAGAAAAACACTTTACCTTATCTATGCGACATGGTCTGAGATGATGCTACTGACCCAACTACACCCTCTTTCTGGTTCTCACTTTCTATCAATGATATATACCCTTTAGATGCCTATCAAGATTAAATTCCTTGGGGCAGCTAGGTGGCACAGTGGATAGAGCAATGACTCTGGAGTCAGGAGGACCTGAGTTGAAATCTGGCCTCACACACATAACACTTACTATCTGTGTGACTCTGGGCAAGTCACTTAACTCCAAATGCCTCACAAAAAAAAAAAAGATTAAATTCCCAGTTCATAGAGTCAAAGATCTAGAGTCGAAATGAGCCTCAGAAGTTCTCTAGTTCAACCTTCTCATAGATAAGGACTCTGAAGTCTAGGGGAGTTAAGTGTCATCTCTAAGGTCACAGTGTCTCAGGGGAAATTTGAATCCAGGCCCTCTGAATTCAAATTTAGCACTGTTTTTACTGTAGTAAACTGAAAGAATTCTTTTCTATCCAAAGTAATGAAACCATTCAGAGAATAAACCTGGGATTATAACATCATTCCAATCAATCTCTGATATTAACTATGCTCCAATCTAGGAATTAGCAAACTCTGGCCCAGGGCCCAAATTCAGCCCATGGGCTATTGTTTGCTGACCGCTGTTTTAGCTCATGAAGCCAACTGGTCTAGACCTTCAGCATCAATTAATATTGAGTGCAGGATGCAAGACTGACTGTCCACACACTGTACCAGGCACTTCCCATTTTTCCACTAAGTCTTTAACTTGAAGTACTTTCATGGTTCTATCATTTAATCAATATGACTTCTCATTTTGTCTCTGTATTTCTATAACCCTAACATACAGGTCTTCTCCTGATTATAAGGGTCAGTTCCCCCAGGCCACAAGTGTGTTAACTTGCCATTTGCTGGACAAGGATCATGCTTTAAGATTATTAACATTTCAATTTTTCACAAGTGAGATTTGAGAACTCAAGTCATAGAAAACAAATAAATAATGATTTATAACTGTAAAAAAAAAGATTATTAACATTTCAGTTAATTTTTGCACATGGCCCAAGACATGTGTGATTCAGCAGAAGTGAAAGGAGCTATATAAGACTAAGAATTAACTTGTATTTTTGTCCATTTTATGGGTTGCCATGACTGAAGAAATTCATCAACTAGTGACCAACCTTCTGGCAATAACCATAATCACTTGGTTCTGCAAAACCATATAGACAAAAGCTATCTAAGATCTTTTTTGATGCAAGTCCCTCAATAGTGTTCTACAAATGACTGCATGTAACTGGTTAAGGGACAGATGTAACTTGTATTTTATTGGCAAAAAAGGTAATTTCCTGCTGGAAGGGATGTGTTATTTATTTATTCATTCATTGACAAGATATTCATCAAATACCTTGATAGGTTTGCAAGAGATGCAAAAAAAAAAAAGACAATTCTTGCCTCAGTCAAGTCACTTTGCCGTAGGACATATGCTCCCATAGCTCCATTACAAAATAGAATGTGAAAAATGCATAAAGCGGTAAAAAAGTGTGATAAGTTTGAAAGATCAAAAAAAAATTCTCTTGAAGCTATTTTTGATCCTGTCTGTCTACATCCAATTTTCCTCAGTGATGAATCTTGACTCCTCTGTCATGAATGAGAAGGGGCTGGGGCAAGAGTGACGAGGGAACTTTGCTCAGCTTTATATTTATAGACCTAGCCATGACAGCACCTACAATGAGTGTTTGTGGCTTTGTAACCACAACAGAGTAGGAACTGTTATTTGTAACCAACAACTCCACTCCAAATGTTAGCAGGCCCAAGGCCAACTAGCTGAAGAAATTGTCTACTGTACATCACCCTTCTCAGTCGTCACTCAGCTCGGACATTTCCACCCAGGGCTTTGGGTCACCTGTGTAAAGCATTGAGAATCACTCCCCTCTCTTGCCCTTGGTGGAAAGGAGAGCAGGTCTCAGACTGGAGCACAGCCTGAATAACTAAGCCTGCTTGAGCTTGCCAAGATGTCTATGCTTAGGACATTTTCTTCCATCAAGAGCTGTATCTAATGACTCCTTTTCTGGGGGCAAGGCTAGCCTCATGCATGGGCACAGGTAGGGGTGATTTGGGTGGGAGAGGGGGTGCCCAGAAGACTGCATCCAGCACAAATACATCTGCACTCCTCCCAACCCCCTGAGCCAGACATCAAGTATCTGAAATGCCACCAATGGTGATTCAGTCCTTTGAATTTTTTTTTCTCTGTTCATCTTTTAGAGTTTCCAAACAAACATGAAGAGTAGAAGACAACATGGTTTAGTGGAGATTGTGTGAGCACGGGGGGTCACAAAGACCAGGCTTCAAATTTGGCATCTGACAACGACTTTCTCTGAAATCCTAGACTAGTCTTTGAGAGAGGGGGGCAAACCCCTCAAAACAAACAAACCAAAAAACCTCTGCCTCTGGTTCAGAAGACCTAGGTTCAAATCTCACTTCTGATATTTCCTGTTTGTGTGACCTTGGAAAAGTCATTTAACTGTCCTAGGCTTTATCTTCTTCCTCCATGAAAAGAAGGGTTTGACTTAGATGGCCTTGGAGTCCCCTTCCGGCTCCTGGTCTATGGAGCTCTCTTGAACCTGTTTCCTTATCTGTAAAAGGAAGATAAGAATCCCCAAAGCATCTAGCTTACAGGGTAGACGTAAGGTTCAAATGAGATAACATATGAAAAATACTTTGTAAACCTTAAAGATATAGAAAGGTCAGTTATTCTGAAGACATAAAACTAATTCACACTTAAGCACCCTGGGAACGTGAAGTAGTAGAAGAAGGATAAAACGGAAAGGCATTAAAAGAATAGGGGAAAGGCCTTTTTGACACACTTTTGCTAGGTCACAGTTCTCCCTGTCTGAGGGGCCCATAGTGCTCCAAGTCTAACACGAATCCCTCGGGTAATGAAATCTTTTGTCCCTGGAGGAACGTATGGAAGTCCAACACTATAATTGAAAGGTAACTTGGCATTCACTTACTAGTGAATAGAAAGCTGGCTTTGGAATCAGAGGAAGACAGGGGCTCAAGCCTTGCCTTTGACATGTACTGGCTGTGTGATTTTGGGCAAACCAATCAACTTCTTGCTACTTCACATAAATCTCTAAGACTATAAATTGCAGAGAAGGTGCCAATCTTCATTGGTGGAGGGAGTTTCCTCACCCTGGAGTTCCCTATACAAATGAAATCGGAGGTTCAGTCTCTGTCTCCGAACTATCTGATAAGTCAGCTCTCTGATTTTATGGCAATTCTGTCCCAGTCTCCTGCCATCAGCAGTACCTGTGGCATCCCACCTACGTACCTGTCCACAGTAGGAATTTGCAGGTCCTCATGCCCTAGTTGCTGTCTGAGCACTCTGTTGAAGATGCCCTTGCTTTGGCTTGCCTGCTGGTAGGTGCTCCAAAAAATGCCACTCAAGAGGATCAGGAACCCCAGAGGCAAAAAACAATAGGCCAGGATCAGTTTCCCCCTGAAGTTAGGGCCTGAGCCCATGGATATGAAGAAAGCCCCTAGACAGATGACCAGGAAACCAGTCAAGAGGGTGAGGCAGCAAATGGTGGTGACCCTCCCTCTCTGCATCCTCCCACTTCTGGAGCTCAGCTCCCCGCTTCTGCTACTATCTTCCTTGCCTGCTCCCTGGGAGCCGGTGACTTCCAAGACAAGCCCTTCCTAGCTGCACATTTCAAGGCTTTATTCACCCTGGGACCAACTGGCCTTTGGACAATTAAATGAAACAGGCACTTATCAGCTATTCATTAACCATTGAAAGGAGCAGTAATATCCTTTGGGTATTAACCTATAAACACAAACCTGGCTTAATGTAGGGAGGAGAGGCACCCAGGGAGCTCCTTTGCCCTTCTGCTTAGCTGATTCCAGTTACTTGCCTGGAGGCTCCCCTGCTCTGTGGTTGAAAGAGCACTGGTTTCTCTAAGTTGTTTTTCTTTACGGTTTCTTAATCCCCACTGTGGGTAATACTTCCATTAGAAGCTCAAGAGATAGCACTCCTCTGTCAGCTATATTCTTCATAGCTTGGAAAAAGCTAAGTCCCTTCTTCCTCTATTACTTAAGAAGGGCCGCACTCCTTATGACTTCTATTATTTGTTATCTTCCCTATTAGATTTCTCTCCCCCGCCTCCCAGATTTGTAGTATCAGAACAGTCTTAAGTGAATAAAACCTGTTGGCAAACTGCCTCATTTTCCATTATCCCAGGTCAAAGCATTCATTTATTCATTCATTCATTCAGCAAACATTTATTGAAAGACAACTACATGAAAAACACATAGAAGGGCAGTGTGGTATACTACAGAGGTGTCCAACTCACTAGGCTGAAAGCTCCTCTGAAAAACTCCTGAGTGGGCCTGAACCAGATTTAAATATAAGTGAGAAATGTTTGGCAAAATAAGTAAGAATACAATACAACATAGATAATGTTAATTTGTGTTTTTCTAAGTCAATATGTAGCTTACAGGGATGTTTCTATTTGAGCTTGTCATTACTGGTATGGTGGATAGAGAGTTGGTTCCTGATTAGAGAAAATATGGGTTCACATTCTGCCTCTGAAATATATTGGCTGTATCCATGGCAACTCACAAATCCTCTCAGTACCCTAGGTACCTTGGACTATAATAGACAAGAAAAGCACCTTTCTGCATCTATAGAGGGGGTTCCTTACTGAGAACTCACTACATTGATGAAATCATGGGTCTGGTCTAAAAAAAAAGTTCTGGGCACCAGAGATACAAAACTAAAACAGGTCTGCCCTCAAGAAACTTACATTCTATGGGGTTAGTATTACCATCCTTCAGACTGCCAAGCAGGAGAGGAAAACTATAGTGGAGCTGGGGATGTTGGGGCAGAACCTTGGAGACTGGGAGAATGGTGGAGCAAAACCCACATAATTATGCAACATTAAGTACAAGGGCCTAGGAACTTCCTGTTCCTTTTCAGGTTATGAGTAATTGTGTTTGTTGACAAATCTGTGTGCTCTCTGGACCTAACAACAGTCAGCTTCTTCATAGCATTTTAAGGTTTCCAGAGTGCTTTACAAATATTATCTGATTTTCACAACCCTGAGAAGTCAGTGCTTTTATCATCTTCATTTTATAGTTGAGGATACTGAGGCAGGCATAGGTTTGGTGACTTGCCCAAGGTCATATAGCTAGTAACTGTCTCAGGCAAGATTTGAACTCCTATATTTCACCCTCCAAGTCCTGTGCTCTGTGTTTTACCTGGCTGCTAGGTACATCATAGGAGTTCAATAAATGTGTTGGCTTGTAGATAATCAACCAGCCATTCCTAGCTCAAGTAGTACTTATTATCAAAAGCATCAAATCTTAGAGAAGGGCCATGGGCCTATGTAGAGAGAAAATGCATCAATTACAATACTCTGGCATCTACTTGTTAGACTGCTGCATTGTAATCCACTTGGAGGTCCCCTGGTAGCACAGTGGATAGAGCTCTGGGCATACAGTCAAAAAAGATCTTAGTTAAATTCAGCTTCAGGCACTTATTATCTACGTGACCCTGGGTGAGTCACTTAACCTCTGTTTGACTCAATTTTCTTAACTATAAAGTGAGGATAAGAAGAGTGCTTACTTATCTCCCAGGATTATTGTAGGGATCAAATGAGATAGTATTTGTAAAGTGCTTAGCACAGTGCCTGGCATATAATAGGTGCTATATAAATACTTTGTTTTTGATTGTTGTTATTGTTGTTGCTAACCTGAAGATCTCCTATGAGATGGCCCTGGTTCCCCATCCTATCAGTCCAGGTGAGAGCAGTACAGAAGAACTCTTCATTCTTCAGAGGTTTTTTATTTTCTTTGCAGATAAGACAAGTAGATCTTTTAAAAGCTCTTTTTGAGTCAGCATATGCCAGGGTGGGATACTGCAAAAATAAATTAGTCAGATGGTCTCAATTCTTATTCCAGGTCTGCAACTTCATTCATTCATTCATTCATTCACTCACTCATTCACTCACTTATTCACTCATCGACCACTTACTCAAGATTAAAAAAGAAGTAATATTTACCCTTAAGGAGTTTGCAGTTTATCACATTCTATTATTTCCTATGAATGATCTTCAGCAAGTGCTTGAGGTATACACAGAAATCTGGAAAGATGTTTATGAAATAATGCAAAGAAATCAAAAGCAACAGAATAGAGTGCCAAACAACTCTGAAATCATTCAAAGAAAGAATAGAGTGCCTAATCACTATGAAGTAATGTGAAAGGAAGAAAGGAAGGTAGGAAGGAAGGAAGAATGAAAGAAAGAAAGAAAAGAAGGAATGAAAAAAGAAAAAGAAGGACAGAAAGAAAATACCTTTCTTAATATCTATAAAATAATGCAAAGTGAAAAAAATAAAATAAAGAAATATTTAATAAGTACTACCACTTCACAGGAAAAGTGAATGAAAACCAAAGGAAAAAGAATTTTGACCAGGACATGGACTGGCTAGAAAATTCTTATGCTACTGTGTGAATTGAACTTAATGAAAATGTAAATAGTTATTGAGAAAGTTTCATTAATATTATTGATGTGCATTGTTAAACATTTAGTAAAACTTTTTTTTGAGTAGATTAGCAATATAGCCTTAGACCATTTAAAATACCTAGACAGTATAAAATACCTGAGTATATGCCTGCCAAAACAGACACAGGAACTATATGAACATAAACATAAAACACTTTTTATACAAATAAACTCAGATGTAAATAATTGAAGTAATATTTATTGTTCATGGGTAGGTAAAGGCCAATATAATTTTAAAAATTACAATTTTACCTAACTGATCTATTTGTTCAATGTCATCCCAAATAAATTACTAAAAATTTATTTTACTGAGTTAGAAAAAATAATAACAAAATTCCTTTGGAAGAACAAATGGTCAGGAACTTCAAAGAAACCAGGAAAAAGATGTAAAGGAAGTAGATTCAGCAGTATCAGATCTTAAACTATATTATAAGGGAGAGCATTGTTGAAGTGTAAAAATTATAATTTTGATTATTATTATTATTTTTTTAGGGTTAAGTGACTTGCCCAGGGTCACACAGGTAGTAAGTGTCAAGTGTTTGGTCTGAGGCCGGATTTGAACTCAGGTCCTCCTGACTTCAGGGCTGGTGCTCTATCCACTGCGCCACCTCGTTGCCCCAATTTCAATTATTTTAAATCAATTTTTTGTATAAATAAAATCTTTGTAACCAAGAATAGAAGGAATGCCAAAAATTGGGGAAAAACTTTCAAAGACAGTCTCTCAGATAGGATGTGATTGGGTTGGAATATTTCTGTAGTATAGGAAATGATGAGCTGGTTGATTTAGGAAAACATGGAAAGACTTAGACTTATGAAGGAAGGTGCTATCCACCCTCAGAGAAATAGATGATGTGGAAATAAGCATATTTATTATGTTTTGCATATATGTGTATGAGTGTATATGTGTATATATATGTTTATAAATATCTATGTATAGGTGTATGTATGTGTATATGTATAAATATGCCTATATGCATATACATGTGTGTCATATATACACACATATATCATGTGTGTGTATATACAGATACATATCCCCATGCTTAATTATTGTTAATTGTAACCTTATTTAGGATGGGAGAGGGAGGGGAAAAATTAAATTAAAAAGTGCACAGCAAAGAACAAAATAAAATCAACAAGAAAGCAAAGCAAAGCTGGGCAGCTTTGAAAACTATATGTAGTATTTATTATAAAGGCTTTCTTGAAATTAAAATGTATTGTTTTATATTGAATTCTCTCTTATAGTCTGCTGTGCACATGACAATTTTTTTTCTTTTCTCATTTTTTATTTAAGTTTAAATTTTTAAAACTCATCTTCCTGAGTTCAAATCTTGCCTCAGACACTTACTACCTCTGTCACCCTGGGCAAGTCACTTAACCTCTCTGAAACTCAGTTTCCCTAGCTATAAAAAGAGGAATAGTGATAGTACCTATCACAAGTCAACATCAAGTGAATAGCAAATGAGACAACATATGTAAAGCACTTTGCAAACCTTAGAATGTTAGATAAGGTGAATGTGATTGACTCCAAACCCCTGTTACATTAGCAACGGGATTAACAATAGTGAAAAATAAAGGAACATGCACAGCCTCCAGGTTTAGGAGCTGTCTTTTTGAGGGTACATTTTGCCAGAGAGACAGGGAGCCTTGACTATCTGGATCTCTCTGGGTTATTTTCATGGGTCTGCAGAGCATCTTTCTGCTTTACTCAGTTTCTTCTCTCTCCCATCTCCCCCAAGAAATACAGCATTGTCAGTTTGAGAATGTCCAATTTCATTTAAATCTGTAATTACATTTATAGAAACTATTTATCATTTATGTTTAATAATCCTGCAGCACAATAACATTATGCATATCATTACATATGTGGCAGATTAGTTTTGTGGTATTTTTTAGTTTGATTATAACATTGAATTTTGTTCATGTATGTTCTGGCTCTGAGCCTATTTTTGGCATTCTGTTTTCAAATTATTTTTATTTCTTCTACTAGGCCTCTATATTTTGAAAGCTCCATGAAGCTTGGAGATTATGCATATTTGTCATGAC